AGATGAGAAGAGGCACATCAGACCATCACCATCGGCCACGCTTCATCCCTTGATGCAAGGAAAATCCGAGTGAAGGTCGCCATTGAGAATCGACCATGTGTTATGGAAGTCGACTCCGGGTCGTCCCTATCAATGGTCTCCTGGAAAACCTTCAAACAGCTGATTCCTGACATCCGTCACCAGGATCTCAGCACTCAAAAATCATATTGAAAGACTACCAAGGAAACAGAATTCCAGTTGCCGGTTCCAGCCATGTCCGAGTATCCTTCAAAGACCACACCGCAACCCTACCTCTTACCGTCACTGATCGAGATCGGCCCAGCTTGCTAGGCTTGCAGTGGTTCGCACCATTAGGAATTGAACTAGCTGGCATCAACCAGACTGGAAGCAATGACTGGGAAGCGGCCCTCATCCAGGAATTCCAGGACGTGTTCACCGAGAAGCTAGGCAAGTACAAGGGATCCCCCATATCATTTAGCCTCAGCCCCGATGTTGCGCCCATTCGCTTTAAGCCTCGTTGAGTGCCCTTTGCACTCAAACCAAAGATTGATGAACAATTGGACAAATTAATAGCCCAGGGCGTGTTGGAACCGATTGACCACGCCCGATGGGAGACCCCAATCGTAACCCCCATAAAACCTGATAGATCTTTGAGAATTTGTGGGTATTACCGGGCCACCTTAAATCACGCGCTGCAGCAGAGCGCTTACCCTGTACCTGTGGTCCAACACCTTCTTCATTCCCTGGGAGGTGGAAAAATATTCACAAAATTGGACCTAGCTCAAGCGTACCAGCAGTTGCCCGTAGATGCAGAGAGTGCAGAAGCCCAAACTATAGTCACGCACAGAGGTGCATTCAAGTGTAATAGACTCCAATTCGGAGTGAGCGTAGCACCTGGCATCTTCCAAAGTCTGATGGAAAGATTGCTACAAGGCATAAAAGGGGTCGTGCCCTACTTCAATGATGTCTTGATAGCTGCCCCCACTAGAAGCATACTAGAAAAACGGCTCAGAATGGTTCTCCAGAAATTTAAAGACGCTGGCCTGAAGGTCAAGAAGGACATGTGCCAACTATGTACTGAGAGGGTTGAATTCCTTGGGTACCTTCTTGACAAACAGGGAATTCACCCTACTGAAAAAAAACTGGCTGCAATAAAAAACGCCCCAAGACCTAGAAATAAAACAGATCTCCAAGCCTTCTTAGGACTCATTAACTTTTATAACATCTTGCCCCAGAAGGCGACTGTTGCTGAACCCCTGCATAGGCTCCTCGACAAGAAGGCTTCCTGGGTCTGGGGACATCGGGAAGAGCGAGCCTTTCAGCAAGTAAAAGACCTTTTAACTTCAGATGCTGTATTGATGCAATATAACGAGACTTTACCCTTAACTGTCACCTGTGACGCCTCACCGTTTGGGGTAGGAGCCATCCTGAGCCACGTCCTGCCCAACGGTACTGAGGCACCTAATGCGTTTTTTTCAAGAACTTTATCTAAAACTGAGAGGAACTATAGCCAACTTGATAAAGAGGCTCTCGCTATTGTAGCTGCGATCAAACGATTCCATGAGTATGTATATGGAAGACCCTTTTCTATAATTACTGATCACAAACCATTACTTGGAATTTTAGCGGGAGACAAACCAACGCCCCACATCTTATCGCCAAGAATGACACGTTGGTCAGAGTTTTTAGCCGCATATGATTACAAACTGCTACACCGCCCGGGAAAAGCCATTCCCCACGCTGACGCCTTGAGTCGCTCGCCGCTACCAGAAGTCATAGACGACCCAGCTCCAACTCTAGCTACGCTACAAATCGAAACTCTTCCGTCACCACCGCTGACTGCACAAGACATCGCCTCGGAAACAAGGAAGGATCCTTGTTTGGCACGAGTCCTCAGCTGGGTGGAAAGAGGTTGGCCTGACAATGAACCCAACAACACCTTCAAGCCCTTCAAAAACTGGCAGACAGAACTTTTCTCCCAAAGGGGATGTGTCTTGTGGGGAGACAGAGTCGTCATCCCAGAGCGACTACAGCATAAAGTTCTGAAACTATTGCACGATGGACATCCTGGCATCGTGCGAATGAAGGCACTAGCGAGGAGCTACGCTTGGTGGCCAGGTATAGATAAGCAAATAGAAACCTGGGTGGCCACTTGCAGCAAGTGTCAGGAAACTCGCTCAGCTCCACCAAAGGCCCCACCAACTGAATGGGAAACACCCGGGGTCCCTGGTCCCGTATCCACATTGATTTTGCGGGACCTACCAAGGGGCATACCTTCCTTATAACTGTGGATGCCTATTCCAATTGGCTAGAGGTCCACAAAATGAAAAGCACCACCACAGAAGCAGTCGTTAAGAAACTAAATAGACTATTCGCTACGCACGGGTTGCCGGATGTTCTGGTTTCAGATAATGGGCCCCAATTCACTGCTCTGGCATTTGAACAGTATCTAGCAGACCGGGGGATACGCCACGCTTTAACATCGCCAGCTCACCCTGCGGCCAATGGCAGGGCTGAGCGAATAGTCCAATTCATAAAGAAAACCTTACACAAGATGGAGCAAGGGGACATCGACGACAAGGTGACCAGGATGCTTCTCCTCCAACATATTACCCCAAACAGCACCACAAACAAAACCCCAGCCGAACTCCTGATGGGCCGGAAACTTTGCTCACATCTTGACCGCCTACACCCTGCCTACACACCGGAAAAGCCCCTGGGGTCCAGCAGCAGGTATCGCACGTTCAAGGTAGGAGACCCAGTTTTTGCAAAAAACTTTTCCAGTGACCCATTGTGGGTCCCCGCTACCATAACTCAACTTACGGGGCCCCGTTCCTACCGTTTACAAACTGCTGATGGGAAAATGTGGAAGCGCCACATTGACCAACTTCGCTCCAGACTTGCACCTACTCCCGTCACAAGCCCTGAACCTCAAACCTGGGGGGGAAGGGAAAGTGAGGGGGCCGTAAAAGAGCTAGCATACGACCCAGTACTCGAAACCCAGAAGTCAGCACAACCAACCCTGGGATATTCACCTTCCGAAGGAGAACTGGACCAGACGATAGCTTCGCCACAAAGCAGCAGTGCGACAGCAGCAAATCCAAGGAATCCAGATGACAGCCTTGACGGAAGCAGAGATGACAACCCCGAGTCACCCAGCGAAGAGGTTGGACCAGCTTTGCCGCTGAGCTCAGCGAACAGCCCATCGGAACCAGAGTCAGGGCAAAGACTGGTGGAACAACGCAGATCGGGTAGACAGGTGAAACGACCTGCCTATTTGTGAGAATACATCACCCCACCCCTCAGACGGAACCTAGGGGGGAGGGGTGTTACGAACTAAGCAAACACGTTAGTTTAAAATCCTAAATAGTTTTGCTTCCACGGCAGGCTCAAAATCTTGCACTTCTGATTGGCCCGCAAACAGCAGCTCATGATTGGTCATTTCTGGCTGATTGGATTGGCTGACAGCGGGTCTCCGCTGATTGGACGCTTCCAGCGCGACAAATTCAAATCATTGGTTGTTGTGACAGCAGCCAGCTCTATAAAAGGAGCTGCTGCTGCCCAAATAGTTCGCTCTGTTCTGAAGTCACTAATAAAGAGTTGGAGTCACTATTCGATGCCTCGTCTCCGTTCTTTGCGCCCATGCTCCAGATTTAACAAACAGCATTTGAAAAGGCTCTCCTATAAAATGAATAAAATGAACAACAGAAAGCTCTAGATTGGATAATATCAGTCTGTCCTTAATTTAGGGGAACTAGCCTATAAAAAGGTTCCAGATTACATGGAAACATACAGTTTATTGAGCACACTTGTAGAACAGGAATAAGAGAGATAATAAATCCACAGAGTATCAATAATTAAATTTAATAGATAATTCCTAGCTGGACTTCTTAATTTTTTGTCAGTATGACCTGGTGCTTGAAGCTAAACTCACTTGCTGGCTTTCCTCAATTGTTTTTAAAAGCCTTTTGTACATTTGCTTCCATCAGGGCCTCAATGGGACATAACGTCTATCTTCAGTTTAATGATCATTCAGAACCGGGCTCCTGGTTTCCTCCTTTGAAGATAATTAAAGAAAAACTTTTTAAAGTGATTTAATACTTATTTTAATAATTTATATAGTTGACTATCTCACAAAAGTGCCTCTAAGCAATGAACAGAGTTAAAACTAAAACACAAACACTATGAAAATCAAACATATGTGCACAGTCTAAAAAACACTCTACTTCTAATTCAAAGTATAGAACTAATTTTAAGTAAAGTATAAATCAGTCAGCAGGTTTCTATTAATTTGCTTTTAGAATGTAGTTTTAATAAATCCTGAAATACTTCAAAACCCTTTGTGTGGTTTCTCTTTGAGAAAATCAGGGCAGAGAAGCAGTTATGCAAATCTAAAACCAAACTTTAATCAATTTCTTCAGTTTTTTTCCCTTGCTAAAGAAAATGCACAATAAATTATATTTAAATAATACAATATTAATTTATGCTCTTCTGACTTAATCATATAGATTAACTCTCTCAAAATCTTCTGCGATATAGGTAGTCCTCAACTTACAACAGTTCATTTAGTGACTATTCAAAGTTACAACAGCACTGAAAAAAGTAACTTATGACCATTTTTCATACAACTGTTGCAGCATCCCCATGATCAAAATTCAGATGCTTGGCAAATGGTTCATATTTATGACGGTTGCAGTATCCTGGGCTCATGTGATCAGCTTTTGTGACCTCCTGACAAGCAAAGTCAATGGGGAAGCCAGATTCAATTATCAACCGTGTTACTTAGCTTAACAAATACAAATACAATAACAAATTCACTTAATAAGTGTGGCAAGAAAAATCGTAAAATGGGGCAAATTCACTTAACAAATGTTTCACTTAGCAGCATCAATTTTCGGGTTAATTGTGATCATAACTCAAGGACTACCTATGTTTAGAATTTTATTTTTTTTAAATGCATTGGACTTCTGAAACAGACAGTCTCCTCTGAATGAATTCTTTGCAAAGGTTAGGGTAAACTGAACAGGGCTCTTGCATCTTAGCTTTTTAAAACTGCTATTGATAATGATATGCTGATTTTTTACTATTTAAAGAAATAAATTGGCATAAATTGGCATAAATCGATTTGTACTGAAAGTTGTCTTTTCTTTTTCCAGAAAAGTCATGTGGTCCAGCCCCAGAAATTCCCAATGCTTCACTGGAGCAAGAAGATAGAGAACTGGAATATGATTCTGGAAAAATAATAAATTATACATGCAATCATGGATTTGATACCAAAGAATCTACTAGAAAAACATGTACAAGAGGAAAATGGGTAGGATCTTTCACTTGTAAAGGTACAGTAATTTTATTTTTGATCTTCTCAAGGTAATTGTTTTCAAAACAACATTGTTGAAAAGTGATGCTTAAAGAAAGAGGCCCAACTTGCTGTCTTACTCTTTCAATCTATGCAGACTCAGACAAACAGGCATTTGTTGTTTCAGAGATTGAATGAATCTTCACATTGCATGGGCAAAGAAGGCTAGATTAAATTAACCAATGGAAGCATTATTGGAACTGAACAATTTTGTAACTTTAGCTGGCCTAATGTTGATAATATATTTTGTCATAATTTATTTTTGGCCTATACTCTATCTCTCTTGAATCACTTCAGAAAATTGAAGTTTTGTATCCTCTATCTATTTAGATGCAACATGTCCCACACCCCATCCAGTTGAAAATGCTGAAATTGTTGAAAATACAATGAAGAAGTACCTGAATGGCGAGAAAATAAATTATCAGTGTCATGATGGTTTTGATATATCTGAATCAGCTCCTGTAACATGTAGACAAAATAAGTGGTCACGCTTGCCAAGATGTGTAGGTAGGAATATATGGTCTATATTTTTGCTGAGATTCACAACATTCACATGGAAAGTACATTTTTTTAAAAATTCAAAAATGAAATATTATTCATCTGAACCATTCACTCCAACATGAGCTAATCCTGTATCATTGCTCTTAGTTTTTCTGATTGACACATTGATAAACCTATGGGCATTTTGATACACTCATTATTTTTCCACTCATCCCCAATTGCCCAACTTCCAACCCATAGGCCCCCATTCCCCCTCAGGTGGCCAGCAAAAAGGAGCAAAATATACCCTTTAACTAGTCAGGAAAAAAATTAAGTTACAACTTAATTGCAGGACTACTCTTCAGAATAATTATAAAGGATGGGGAGACTCTTGCCAATGGTAACTGGTATCTTGAGCTCTAGAGGGTGGAGACATTGAGGGTTGAGAGATAGAGTGATGCTGAACTTCCTCCAATGGGAAAGGTCTTCTTTTCTGTTCAAGAAGAAATGTTTTGGTAGCATTTCCTCTGCTTCAGCATTTCCTAATCAGAGGGTGGAGGTGTCAGCCTAGATATCCAGTCTATGTGAGATCATGAGGGATAGCTTTTAGATTAATGCAATTTTTATGTCTGGAAATAGTAATTATGGTTGCCCTGCCTACCTTGAATGATCAAACCTGTTTGCTTATTTATTTTTCCTTCACTTCTACCCCATCACAATCTAGAGTCTGTTAGCTGCTCATGTAGAATATAAAAACCAAATATCACATCCTCAGTATAATCAACTGTAAAAATAGTAAAGCAACAGAGCAGATTAAGTAACCTTTATATTAATCTGTTCTCTCTCACCCAAATCTGATGGTTTCTAAACATCAGCAAAGGTTATTGAGACCATCTCCCTCACAGCCTAGGGTAGAGGATTACAGTTGCATGCTCCATGATTGGATTGGATTGGAAGGGAAAAGTCCAGAATAGTTCATCATGCAGACAGCTTCTTTTCTGCATGTAGTTCATAGAAGGATTTAAATTTCTTGCAGGATACCCAGTTTTCAATACAACATTTCAGAATTGCTCTAATACACAATTACCAACTATGTATCCACATTGTATTCTTCTTTAGCTTTTACAAACAAAATTAAAGCATACAGGTTCTTCCACCCTCCAAGTTAACAATCATCATACAAAAGAAGTTTCAGAGAAAATTATTTACACAAACACAACACTACCATTAATCTATGGCTGATGAAATATCTTCACAGCATTGATTGAAAGCACCTGGTTTCATTTCTTCAAGGTGAGTAGAAACAAGTGCTGTAGGAGGAAGAGGAGGTTCCTCTGTCTGTAGCCTCACACTCTCCTCACCTCAAAGGGAAGCAGCCTCAAGCCTGCAGCATCACCCTTGTATTTTCTGTGTTATATGGTGTGTGTTGACAGTTTTGGTTTCAAAAGCGGGAGTATGTTTTCAGACATTTGCTTTAGGAAAACCAAGTGCATTTTATTTGAATGGGACCATTTTTATTTCCATTTTAGATGTAAGATGTTCTTCTCCCTCTGAAATTCCAAATGGTCAGATTACTAGTGAAATAAAGGCAAAGTATTTGCCCCAGGAGAAGGTACACTATCGATGCAACCCAGGTTATGCTCTTCTTGGAAGTCCTTCCATTACATGTTCGAAGAACCATTGGACACAAACTCCACGTTGTGCAGGTATTATTACAGATCTTCACCATGTAGAACTGAAGTTAGAATTGAAAATGAATTTGCTTTTACTTCACTGGCTCTTTCGTGTTATTTTGAAAAAGTTCTGTCATATTGAAAAGGCTTTTTCAATATTTTATTGCTAGAATTGTAAAATTTAATGTCCCTGTTGAACTGTGAAAGTAGAATATATTTTCATTAACATTGCTACTCTTTTGCAAAATTTTGAATTTCTATTTATATAAATCTATTCAATTCATTTTATAACTAGACGTTTTTTCTCATTTGGAAGAGAATGTGTCTTTTGGAGAACAAACATGGATTTCTATGTCACAGTTAGCCTCTCCTTCTCAATCCTATGATGCCATAGAACATAAAACTGGTTATCATTTTAAAAATCTCATATATATTACACATATTACTTATGTTAACTTCTCCATCTGTTTTCACACTCTACCAAGATATGTAGATTGACCCATTTGCTTCATTTTTTCCATTTATTAATCATTTGTATTCTCTTTTCCCTTTCAAGTTTAATTATTTGAGGGTTTCCTACGTTGCTCCTCATTGTACCATTCACATATCTAAACATTCTTTGAAATCATTCACATTCTCAGCCAACATTGTGACTTCACCCATAAATGAAAGTATGTTCACATTCATGTCCACAACCAATACTCCTCCTAAGTTTTATAAATATCATTATACTTTTATAAAGGAATATATAATAATTATGCAATACTGGGTGTGTGTGTCACATATCCATGTCTAACTTCCTGCTTCGTTGAGTGTTCCCCTGATTGTCATGGTTGCTTTCTCTCTAATACCTCTATTATCACATTCAGCAAACAACTTTCAACTCTACACAAAATATTCCATAGTTTTAAGCCTGTTCCTTTTATCATAAACTTTTCCTAAATCAAGAAACATATAATAGAATTTATATCTCACGTCCAAACATTTCTTAATTTTAAGAAATAAAGAATGTCTTCATTGTTTTCCAGCTAAAGGACAATAATATTAATTGTATATCCCTTGCCCAGCATAAAATCCTGCTACCCTTCCCCAATTTTGCTCACTTTCACATTTTGTAAGTTTTCGGACTTCTCTCCCAGGTACATTCACAGGAACAAATAATAAAATGACCTCCCTTTAGCTTTTCACTTACTCTTACTATCTTTCCCTTTCCATGGGAGCAATAGCATCTTCTTCTAATTTAAGTTTAAAAATCCATGTGTAATAATTGCACAAATTTTCCACTATTTCATAATTCACGTATTTTCCTCCAGGATACCAAGGTCTAGTCAAACACTGTAACCACTTATCACTGAAATTCTTCTGATGTAGCATCAAATTTCCCCACCCCTACCATTTTCATCATTTACTGCCTTTTTATGACTTTTCCTTTGATGCTAATACCAGTAGCATTCAGTTCCATACCTTTCAATTTCATCCTTCAACCTATTATTTGCATTATAACTTATATGATGGGAAGGAGGACATGGGTAATCATCTTCAGGGCCATGTGGGGGAATTTGTGAAACACCTGATGCTTGTATCTATTTCCAGTTGCTTGTATCTATTCTCAGTAGGAGACTAGACCAGTGGTGGTATTCAGCCAGTTCGCACCGGTTCAGGTGAACTGGTAGGAAGGATTTGGTATGGGCTGCCGAACCTGTAGTAACTTCTGGCTGGACACACCCCCAACCCACTCGTCCGGTCACTGCTCATTTGCTTGCCCCAGCTGCCCAATGCTCGTTTGCCCAATGCTCGCTCCGCTCACCCCACCTAGTTACTCCTCCCCTCCTATGTGGCATGCTGGGTTCTCATGGCTTGCCATTCTAGCCTTCCCACATGATGCCTGCGACCCAATTGAGCAGCCCTGATCTGCCTGCTGCTCACAGGCCCCCCCACCATTCCTGGATCTTGGCCGGTCTCCCACACCATTCCCGGGCTCAGCTGACTGGCTTCCCCACTGGCACGGTCCCATCCCAGGCAATGATGCTAGCTGGGGCCTAGCTAGCTGCCTCCCCACTGTATTGTCCCTGTCTGGTTTGCTTAGCCACCAGCGCCACAACTCCATCCCATGCGGCACTTGTGGCCTTGCAAGCTTCCCCCCCACCACTGCCCCCAGCCTTCAGCTTTCCTGGTAGCAGAGCCAGGGTTGACTCATGGCCCTCGGGTCCCCACCAGCCTGGATCTTGCCCCCTGCTTGGATTCTCCACAGCTGCTGGGTCTTGCCTGCTTGGTGCAGGTATGGAAGGGGCTGACCAGGGAGCACGACGCTATGCTACCTGCATCACCCTTTTGCCTGCTGCCCCTTCCCTCTCCTGCCCACCGACCTGTGCACTTTGAGCATTGGCTGCTGTGAGAATGCTGTGAGCGAGTCCTAATGCTGATGGCAGGGAAGGAAGATCTACACCAGGTTTGCTGCACTTAACCAGAGGGCTGCTTGGGGGGGGGGCATGGCAAGGCTCGGCTGCTTTTCGGGCCCAGCTTTGGCTTCCATGGGGCCTTCCATGTGAGAGGCCTGAGAGAGAAAATGCCTCCATCGAGGCTCGTCTGCTTGCCCATCCACTGGCCAGGCTAGCCTGGAAATGGCATGCCTCCTTCTCGTGGGCTGATACAGGACCCAAGGCACAGCAGAGGTAAAGCAGGTGGCAGCCAGAGCAGGCCCAAAAGGCAGTGAAGCCTTGCCAGAGCAGATCTTTCTTCCCCACCATCAGCCGTACCTTCCAGCCCATGGAGCTCTCACTGCTCTCACTGTGCAGTGGTCCGCATTCTGCCAAAATGCTCAGCCCGGCGAGGGAGGGGCAGCTGCCCTGGGGGATGCAGGCATCATAGCGTCATGCTTCCTGGTTGCACCCCCCCCCCATGCCTCCAGGCAGGTGAGCCCCAGCAACTGCTGAAGAATCCAGGC